ATATTTTCTGTGAGAGAATCGGTTTGTGCAGTTAGAAATGACAGAAGAACCAACCCCAGAAACCTTTTATTTTTTGGTGCTTCTCAGGGACTAATATTAAGAGAAGAAGGTTTGATGAAAGCATCCTAGATACGCTCTCTGGCACAGGAATTCCCACTTAAGACCTGCTCAGGAAGAAGAGGGGTTTGGAAACTGAAATACTGGGGGCATCACATGCAGAAGGACACATCCTCTCCTTCTGCTATTGCTGTGTGTTGTTGGGCTGGAAGTAAGTGGGAGCAGCTGTGCTACTCCAGACAATGAGGAGAACAATAAAACATTTAGAAAAATCCTTTCACAATATAAAAAAATGTTTCATTTCTGGGGAAGAGGAGAAAAAGCCACAAGTGTTTTGCAGAACCTGCCATTGCCCAAAGGTCATGCTTGGCCATGAAGAGCTGGGAGGGGTGGACAGGAGTGGGAGCTTGGTCTTGAGAGGATCTGAGACCCCACAGAGCTGGAAAAGTGGCTGAGGTGACAGTTGGGGATGTAAGAACTCCAAACCAGTCTAGGGTTTCCATTCAGCTCCTTCTCACCAAAGTGTACGGCAAGCACATGCCACCTCCTCTCTGCTTTCTCCAAGGACCATCTGGTGTGAAGTTGAGTTCACTTTGAAACTGCTTCACCTTTTTTGAGGCATGGGCAGTACCAGTGGTGGCTTCCCTTCTCAGGCATCCCTTCTGGAGGCCACCTCTGGTGAACTTGGTTTGGCAAAGGTCAGGGGAAAGGCTTTCCTCTGCTCTTCTTCACATTCCTGCAGCCTGTGATTCAGCCCTGTCAGCTCCTTCTCTTGTGTTCATCACTTCAGGAAACTGTATCTCTGCCTTGGTGCTCCAGTGACCCTAACAAACTTCCGTTTCCAGTACACTTCCCTTTTTCCTTGTTTTCTCCAGATGCACGGTGGCACAACCCTTTTGCAGGGGAGAGGTCTTTTTCAAAACAGTTTATTCTGTGTCTACTTTGACTTGACTTCTCTACAGAGCTCAGATGATGTCTTGCATACATCTTACATTGGCTGTTCCCTCCTGACTCTCTTCCTTCTCCTCCTCCAGCTCCTTCTGTCTTTTGCGTAAGACTTCCTGGGCTGCTTCTGGTTTGCTTTGAGGATGTACCCAAGTACACGTATGCAGGGTCCCTCTTTCAGTAGTCCATGAGGAATCCATTTGAAGTTCACTCTACTTGCTTTTCTTTCCAGATTTCTAGGAAAACACCTCTTGACTGTGCACAGTCTGGGGCAGCAGCATTTTTCATGTGTGTTCCTTTAGACATTCAGCTGAGATGGAAAGATCCTTTTCCGTATTTCCATAGTAAAATAGAGCCATGCACTCTATAGCTAAGTGTGTTTTCCTTCCTAATAGGACACTGCATATCTTAAAAGGACCCAAAGTCATCACTTGCTTTCCTGTTAGTCTCCTAAGGGATGGATTTGAAAAAACTCACCCTCTTTTCTCCCCTCACCCTCTTCTTTTCTGTCTGCTCTGGAGGGCAGGGGCAAAACATATGGTCGTGGATTTTATGCTTGCTAGGAGTATCCTCTTCACCAGTCTCAACTCTTGTGTGTGCAGGTGACCAGACCTCCTTCCGAGTTCAGGTTCGGCAAGTGGAGGACTATCCTGTGGACCTCTACTACCTGATGGATCTCTCCCTGTCCATGAACGACGACTTAGATAATATTCGCAATCTGGGGACCAAGCTGGCTGAGGAGATGCGAAAGCTCACGAGCAATTTCCGGCTGGGATTTGGCTCTTTTGTGGACAAAAACATTTCTCCTTTCTCCTACACTGCACCAAGATACCAAAACAACCCCTGCATTGGGTAAGTGGTAGGTGTGCCCATGATGGACAAGCCCTGTGTTGTCACAGAGCCTGGCTGCAGTCTCTTCCCTTCCTGTTCTTCTTTTAAATAAGGAACCAAACTTCAGCCTCAGCTGAACACTGATTAGCCATGGCTGTAGCTGGGATGCTCCAGAGCCATTCAAAATAAGATCATTTCTCATTTTTGTTGGGAAATTTCTGCATCTAGAGATGGTAAAATGTTTTATTGGGAGCCCGAAGCTATTTTTAAGTACTCAGAGAGGATGGAGGCATAGCAGGCTTTGTTACAGACTTTAAGAAAAAGAAGCAAGAGCCAGAAATTCCTGATTTCTGATCCTAGCCCTGAGTCATAGTTTGGCTTTGAGTAGATCAATTAAGCTCTTTGTCTCCATTTTGCAGATAAGGAGACCCAGACAATGTAAACCCTTCCTGACAGAAGTGTTTGGGGGAAGTGAGATTTGTGGGGGCCTGTAGTACTGATTAATGAAGTCTTGCAATGCATTTTGAAGATGGGCAGGTTTTTTCATCTTTATTGCTGTGGAAGGAAAGCAAACTGGCAGTTGCAAAAGACACAAGTGCTGTGATTTGCTTTGTGGTGATATCAGAGCCTTCTTCATTTATTTATTTATTTAGTTATTTTTTGGTAGAGAAATTTTGTTTGCTCTTTAAGCACTGGAGTCTGGATCATGTCCATTGAATCGAGGATTATGCCAGAGTGAAATTGGGAGTACTGGAGCATGTCCAGGCTCAGCTGTGTTTGGATGTTGGCACGGAAGGATAGGTAGAGCAGCAAGTGCACTGCTGGGAGAATGTCACCGTTGACACTTAGCATGGTGTTTCTCCCTTCACCTCATCCATCCCTTGAGTGCTCCCTAGTCATGTAAGGGCATATTTCTCTGAGCCATTTCTGGATACTTACATTGGAAGATCACAGCACAGATAGAAGCCAAGCTCTGCAAGCTTGCAACATTTAAGTTCTCTGTATGGGAGCCAGATTAAAGAGAGCTTGCATCAGCTATGAGTTTCTAGGCACATTTTGGCATTGACCGAGTGTTTGGCATCTCATTGCACATTGAATGGGGTAGCTTTAAAATTGAGCATTTAGTTTTTATAATACTGCTTTTTCAACTTAAGTCCAGCTGGAAAGCAGTGTGTCCTGGTTAGACTGAAAATATGAAAAGTGTAAAAAGAATGAAAAAAATGAATAGATTCCAGTTGTATTGTCCATCGAGCCTTAAGCCCAGCCAAGGAGAAAGAAGAGCTTTTTGTGGATATGCCTGATTGTTGAGTCTGCATTTGTCAACTGGCCTAAAGCAGTTTTTCCAGTTTCTGCCACTGTGAGACAGTATCCAAGAAATATTTCTGAATTCAGTTTTGAGTGAAAAACCTTTTAGTAAAAGCCCTAAGGAGAGGATGGTGGTGACTGTGTGAGGGGAAGGAGGGGGCTGGAGGGGCTGGATTATCCCTAGGAGTGTGAGAGTAATACTGGGCACAGAGCAGAATAATTTCTTTTGCACTTATGGCTACGTACGTCAGCGATATTTTCTGTGAGAGAATCAGTTTGTGCAGTTAGAAATGACAGAAGAACCAACCCCAGAAACCTTTTATTTTTTGGTGCTTCTCAGGGACTAATATTAAGAGAAGAAGGTTTGATGAAAGCATCCTAGATACGCTCTCTGGCACAGGAATTCCCACTTAAGACCTGCTCAGGAAGAAGAGGGGTTTGGAAACTGAAATACTGGGGGCATCACATGCAGAAGGACACATCCTCTCCTTCTGCTATTGCTGTGTGTTGTTGGGCTGGAAGTAAGTGGGAGCAGCTGTGCTACTCCAGACAATGAGAAGAACAATAAAACATTTAGAAAAATCCTTTCACAATATAAAAAAATGTTTCATTTCTGGGGAAGAGGAGAAAAAGCCACAAGTGTTTTGCAGAACCTGCCATTGCCCAAAGGTCATGCTTGGCCATGAAGAGCTGGGAGGGGTGGACAGGAGTGGGAGCTTGGTCTTGAGAGGATCTGAGACCCCACAGAGCTGGAAAAGTGGCTGAGGTGACAGTTGGGGATGTAAGAACTCCAAACCAGTCTAGGGTTTCCATTCAGCTCCTTCTCACCAAAGTGTACGGCAAGCACATGCCACCTCCTCTCTGCTTTCTCCAAGGACCATCTGGTGTGAAGTTGAGTTCACTTTGAAACTGCTTCACCTTTTTTGAGGCATGGGCAGTGCCAGTGGTGGCTTCCCTTCTCAGGCATCCCTTCTGGAGGCCACCTCTGGTGAACTTGGTTTGGCAAAGGTCAGGGGAAAGGCTTTCCTCTGCTCTTCTTCACATTCCTGCAGCCTGTGATTCAGCCCTGTCAGCTCCTTCTCTTGTGTTCATCACTTCAGGAAACTGTATCTCTGCCTTGGTGCTCCAGTGACCCTAACAAACTTCCGTTTCCAGTACACTTCCCTTTTTCCTTGTTTTCTCCAGATGCACGGTGGCACAACCCTTTTGCAGGGGAGAGGTCTTTTTCAAAACAGTTTATTCTGTGTCTACTTTGACTTGACTTCTCTACAGAGCTCAGATGATGTCTTGCATACATCTTACATTGGCTGTTCCCTCCTGACTCTCTTCCTTCTCCTCCTCCAGCTCCTTCTGTCTTTTGCGTAAGACTTCCTGGGCTGCTTCTGGTTTGCTTTGAGGATGTACCCAAGTACACGTATGCAGGGTCCCTCTTTCAGTAGTCCATGAGGAATCCATTTGAAGTTCACTCTACTTGCTTTTCTTTCCAGATTTCTAGGAAAACACCTCTTGACTGTGCACAGTCTGGGGCAGCAGCATTTTTCATGTGTGTTCCTTTAGACATTCAGCTGAGATGGAAAGATCCTTTTCCGTATTTCCATAGTAAAATAGAGCCATGCACTCTATAGCTAAGTGTGTTTTCCTTCCTAATAGGACACTGCATATCTTAAAAGGACCCAAAGTCATCACTTGCTTTCCTGTTAGTCTCCTAAGGGATGGATTTGAAAAAACTCACCCTCTTTTCTCCCCTCACCCTCTTCTTTTCTGTCTGCTCTGGAGGGCAGGGGCAAAACATATGGTCGTGGATTTTATGCTTGCTAGGAGTATCCTCTTCACCAGTCTCAACTCTTGTGTGTGCAGGTGACCAGACCTCCTTCCGAGTTCAGGTTCGGCAAGTGGAGGACTATCCTGTGGACCTCTACTACCTGATGGATCTCTCCCTGTCCATGAACGACGACTTAGATAATATTCGCAATCTGGGGACCAAGCTGGCTGAGGAGATGCGAAAGCTCACGAGCAATTTCCGGCTGGGATTTGGCTCTTTTGTGGACAAAAACATTTCTCCTTTCTCCTACACTGCACCAAGATACCAAAACAACCCCTGCATTGGGTAAGTGGTAGGTGTGCCCATGATGGACAAGCCCTGTGTTGTCACAGAGCCTGGCTGCAGTCTCTTCCCTTCCTGTTCTTCTTTTAAATAAGGAACCAAACTTCAGCCTCAGCTGAACACTGATTAGCCATGGCTGTAGCTGGGATGCTCCAGAGCCATTCAAAATAAGATCATTTCTCATTTTTGTTGGGAAATTTCTGCATCTAGAGATGGTAAAATGTTTTATTGGGAGCCCGAAGCTATTTTTAAGTACTCAGAGAGGATGGAGGCATAGCAGGCTTTGTTACAGACTTTAAGAAAAAGAAGCAAGAGCCAGAAATTCCTGATTTCTGATCCTAGCCCTGAGTCATAGTTTGGCTTTGAGTAGATCAATTAAGCTCTTTGTCTCCATTTTGCAGATAAGGAGACCCAGACAATGTAAACCCTTCCTGACAGAAGTGTTTGGGGGAAGTGAGATTTGTGGGGGCCTGTAGTACTGATTAATGAAGTCTTGCAATGCATTTTGAAGATGGGCAGGTTTTTTCATCTTTATTGCTGTGGAAGGAAAGCAAACTGGCAGTTGCAAAAGACACAAGTGCTGTGATTTGCTTTGTGGTGATATCAGAGCCTTCTTCATTTATTTATTTATTTAGTTATTTTTTGGTAGAGAAATTTTGTTTGCTCTTTAAGCACTGGAGTCTGGATCATGTCCATTGAATCGAGGATTATGCCAGAGTGAAATTGGGAGTACTGGAGCATGTCCAGGCTCAGCTGTGTTTGGATGTTGGCACGGAAGGATAGGTAGAGCAGCAAGTGCACTGCTGGGAGAATGTCACCGTTGACACTTAGCATGGTGTTTCTCCCTTCACCTCATCCATCCCTTGAGTGCTCCCTAGTCATGTAAGGGCATATTTCTCTGAGCCATTTCTGGATACTTACATTGGAAGATCACAGCACAGATAGAAGCCAAGCTCTGCAAGCTTGCAACATTTAAGTTCTCTGTATGGGAGCCAGATTAAAGAGAGCTTGCATCAGCTATGAGTTTCTAGGCACATTTTGGCATTGACCGAGTGTTTGGCATCTCATTGCACATTGACCATTGACCAGACAAAATTATCTGCATTCACTTTTCACCAGTTCTGTCCAGAGAGGAAAGCCAAATAGATTTTAACACTGAACATTTGTGATTTGGCCATGAAGCATAGGCACTATTCCCCATGCTCTTCATAGCTCTTTCCTCTGAAAATCTGGCATGGCTTCAGAGGGATGTGCTCAGTCATCTCCATCGTCCTCAGTCTCCATCATCTGCTCATGTTGCTCAGGGCTTGGGATGGGTTTTCGCTCCAGTGAAAATTTTGTTTGGCTGGTGTGTGATTTAATTGAAGTGACATGGCTTTTGCTGAGTGAAATAGGATGAAATGTGCAGGAGGGGAGGGGCAGGAGAAGAGAAGAGGGTGGGGCTGGACAACTCTCCAGCGAGGCCTGCCTGAAACTGCTGGTGTCCTTTCATCGTGGACACCCAGAGATGTCACCTCATCTTTTCCCACTGTGATCAGGCTCTCTGCACATCCTTCTGGTTTTACCCACATGGTTACTTTTTTGTTTATGGGTTACATTAAGCCAGCCTGGTCTTGTGAAACCATTTAGGAAGGATTGCCTAAGGCATCTCGCCTGGTGGGTGTTTCCTTCATCACCATCCCTCTCCTCTTCACTCAGCCCAGGGGGGCTGGCTCCTCCTTGTTCTCTGGAGTGTGGGCTGCTGCAAGATGGCTCCCTGATGTGTCAGCCACATGTGCTGTTGGGTCTGGTTTCATTTGCAGCTATTTCTAGTGTCAAAGCAGACTTTGTCCAGGGGCCTACTTGTATCTAAAAAAAAAGCTGCAGGTAACCCTGAGCTGTGATGGGTGTTTTCTGCCCCCAGTCCAGGCTCTTTCCTCCTCATGGCAATGGCCAATTCCGGGGGGTGTTTGGCTGTGTTTTCAGGTAGAGTCTGGCAGGGATCCCTTGTTCCTCCTCTGTCCTACTCCAGTTTAGAGCTCACCCCTGCTTCTGGCTCAGCATCCCAGATGGGACCTCCTGGAGAGCCAGGATGTGGCCTCTCACAGCCACAGTGTCATTCAAAGGAAACAAACACCAAATTAAAAAAGATAAGGAAGGCAGAGGGCCAGACTAAACACCCAATAGGCATCTTCCTGTGATAAGATGTGGGGAGGTTCCAGCCTGAGATAACTCAGTCGTGCTGCTGTGTACTCTATGTAGTCAGCTGTCCATCCTCTGTCCTGTTGCTGCCTGAAGCTTCTGCCAGCAAACCTGGAACAAAAGGATTAAACTGTACATCCTCATGGGATCAGGGACCCTTTAGAGTGCCAGTGTTTACTTCCTGCATCAGGGCTCTGGCAAACTGAGCAACAGGGTGTATGGTAACAACCCCAGGCATGGATTCTTTACCCAGTGTGCAGAGTCCAATCCACACATACAGATGAGATGTCAATTTTTATTACAATCCTGCACAGGGCCAGGTGCTGGCAGGCTAATGCTAAGAAACAAACACACCTTAGTGACAGGTCAGAGAATATTTATACACTAGAGATTGGGATAAAATTACAATGTATTGAAAAAAAGGGTCGTCAAGGGCATAGGGCTGCTATTCAGTGCAAAATCACTCAGTGACTAGGTTATCTCTGGTCTACTGTCTTCATGCCTTCTTAAGCAATGCCTTCCTTCGGGGCATTCCTCCTCTTCTAGTTCCTGTCATATCCTGTTAATGGTGATGATGACGTGGGGGCGTTCCTGTTGTTATCTGTATGGTTACCAATGTATCAGTCCAGGGTGATAAATACCCTATAGCACAGTCATTCTGAGTCCCGTGTGAGTTAAGGGCTGTGTGCTGAGCCCCCTCAGTGCAGGGGCTTCAAACATCTGAAACCTCCTTGCCTGGGCTCACCCAGGGTGCAAGTCTGGACATGGGGCTGATCACAAGGGATGGCTCTAATTGCCAGCCGGGCCCAGAGCAGTGGGACCTGCCCCGTGGTTAGGATTTATGCATGGTTGTGCAGGTGGAAATCCCAGTTCTGGGGTCCCCTGGGAGGGATTTGAGTTCCCAGGGGTGGTAAATCTTAAGTACTCCTTTGTGTAAAAAGCCTCTTACAACTTACCCATAGTGGGTCATGTGTCAGCAGAGGCCTTTAATTGTTCCCTGGGTTTATAACTTGGAAGATAAGAGTGAATTAGTGCCAACCCAACTCCTTTTTAAACACATTTTCTTCTTAACCCTTCTCATCCCTCTCCCCTGCATGATCTCATGGATTTCCCACGCCTCTGGAGCTTCTCTGCTCAGCTCTCCCAGCCATGGGTGAGCACCAAAACTGCCTCTTGTTTTATATGGAAAAAATAACTGATCTTGGTAACCTGCCGAGGCTTTTTTCTGCCTTAGGGTGCCACTCCTACTTTGGAAAGCAGAGACAGTTCTTGCTCACCGGCTTGTAGGGAGAGTGGGAGGATGCATGAGTTGGTGTTAGTTATTAGCACATCTCGAGGTGTGATGTGCAGGGTGGCACGTATTGCCAAGAAAACTGGATGACAGTGAAAATGCATATTGAAAAATAGAGGGAAAGTAGCTGTCAGCAGTGATGCCTGCCACCATCCTGGGCTGCTGGGAAGAGTGGCTCTGGCTCTGCTGTCGAAATGTGCCTTCTGCATCACTGTGAGTCACATCCTGCTCCACAGACTTCCAGTCTAAACCCCACTTTTTGGCTTCTGAAATTCCAGAGCCACCAAGTCTGGTGATTGGTGTTTCCATTTGGACCCTATGTGGAGAGACATGTTTGGTCCTGGTGAGATCTTTGGAGAATTCAGTTGCTCAAAGCCCCTGGGGGATGACTAAAAAGATGGACTCTGCTGTAGAGTTTTGAAGATAAATAGTCAGAAATCAAAGTGTCCAAAACATGAAGCCTTGTGAAAATATTTCATCCCTCTGAACAGAAGTTTGGAGACCAACCTGGCAGCTTCTGCAGCTCTTGGCTGATGGTGGAGTTCCTCCTAGCTGACCATTCCTCTGTTCTTCTTGCAGTTACAAGCTGTTCTCCAGCTGTGTCCCTTCCTTTGGCTTCCGCCACCTCTTGTCCCTGACGGATAAAGTCGACCGCTTCAACGAGGAAGTCCAGAAGCAGAAAGTTTCCCGCAACCGAGATGCTCCAGAGGGTGGTTTTGATGCGATTTTGCAGGCTGCTGTCTGCAAGGTGGGTCACTCTGGCTTCTGGAGTCTTAAAGCAAAGCAAAAGAGCTTTTGGAGCTCTGCTTTTGGACCATGGTGAGGCTTCAGTGTGCCAGTTCTTGGAAGTAACTGCTACATTCTTGCCTGCAGAAATAATGCTTTGAAAAGCAGAGGCTATTGTTTTCATGTGCTTTTGGACGTGAGCAGACAAAGAATAAAAAGTGCATACATTTTCTAGTTTAAAGGGGTAAAAAAGGAGCTTTTGCAAATGCAAATTTAGGTCTGAGGTTTAACCACATGCTTAGACTTGTAGGTGCTGATCCCTGAGCACCTGGTTCAGGTACACTAGTGTGCAGTAGCACCACGCATTGGCTTAATGCATTTCTGAAGTGTGTGTCAAACACATCTTGCAGCAGTTGACCCATGTTGAGGGTTGGAGCTGCTTGTACCTGCTCCCTTTGGCATGTGGGGATGGATGATCTGATGTCCAGTCACTGATAACCTGCTTTCCCTCCTTGTCTGCAAAACTGGAGCTGTGAGTAGTAATTAAAGACAGCGCTTTAGCCTGGTGCCATGTTAGCCATGTCCTTAGGGTTTTTGGAGATGTTTGCTTGAAGATCTTTCTAGAACAAGTAAGTGGGTTGCTTTGTATCCCTTTGTGCATCAGGGATGGAAGAGCTTGCTCCCCTCTGCTGTGTGGCTGAGCTGCCCTGCTTGCCATGGATGGTTCCAGTTGCTTTTTTTCCCCTCTTGACGTGCAGTTTCGTTTTTGTTTGCTCTGGCCTTACGTAGTCCTTTTGGTTGGGCATGTTTTCTTCTGGGTCTGGATTTTGGGAGCTGGGAGATAGACATCACCTGCAGGAGTGATGGGATGCAGGCTTGTGGGAAACCAGATCTTCCCACGCCTGGGTTGGCTTCATTTACGTTTCATGCTCTGAGCAGGACTGAACCTGCCCAGTTGGAGCTGATGCCACCCAACAGTCATCTTCCCTCTCCCAGCCTGGCACACATACTGTTGTTGGCACAACTACAGTGCTCATCTAGGCATAAAGTGCTTCTCAGTTTTTAAGAGGTGGCTCTCATGCTTAGAGCTGAGATGTCTCAGGATGCTGACTCTGTTGTGCCACCCACCGTGTGTTTTTTTGCAGTCCTACCACGTTATTGCAAAAATGGGACCATGTTTCCCTACAGTGCAGAAATACTGCTGTGTGTATCACAGTGGCTCATGTTGGAGGTGTTGCTGGAAGGCAGAAGACCTGCAAAGTATTTCCTACATGTTTGTACCAGTCTCAAAATGTTGGTAAAGATAAACATCTTTGACTGGTTCTTGAGTGCACAGCCTAGTCCCTTCTAAATTCAGAAGATTAATTTAGATGCTGGTGCCACCTAAATTCAGGACTGAGTGTCCTCTAGGAAGAATGAGCAGAGGTCAGTGTGTGTGCTTGCGTGGCTTTTGGCTTGATGTGACACCTCATGACGGGAATTTCTGCAACCGTGGTGGTTAATTAATTACCAGAGCCTGGGGGTGGGAAAGAAAGTCCGTGGGACCAGTGTGCAAGGCAGGAGAACCAGCTGTGCCTTAACTCATGCTGCCTTGGCAGCCCCTTGCTGTGGGTGGAGCAGCTGC